TATATGTATATATAATGATAATATAAATAATAATATGAATAATAATTTAAATTATTAAAAAATGTATATGTGATATTATTCAATTAATATAATTTAATGGCATTTTAATTTAGTTCTCTTACAGGTAACATATCCTTTGACAATAAATGCATAACATGAATTTATTATGCAACACTCACGGAACAGCAGTTCCAATAGCATTTGCTAATTTGCTGGCCATTGCTATTGCAACATCTGATAAAACTGGAACTGAACCACCTTCTAGTGCATAATGAAAACCAACAAATGGTCGTTTACCAGTTGCAAGAACTAAATTATGCTGTGGTGCACTAGATCTATAAGATGCATTATATCCACCACAAATTGAAGCTGTCATTAAATGATCAAAACTATTTACAGAAGTGGTACCAATTACTTCTGAATCATTTACAATATCTTGACTTTTATAACCCCATTTTTTATATGACAGATTTGTTATAGGTGGTAGATCATCACAGTTTGCTTGAACTATAATAAATATATATATATATCAAATAATTATTTTAAAAATTAATATATATATATATTATATAATATATATTATAATAAAAATATATATTATATATAAATATTGAATAAATATTGAATATTATAAATTTTTATAGCACATTTTTATAATATAAATTAATTAATTTTTGTACCTCTAGCTAAATGATTTCTACATGCTCGTAATGTAGAAAATAAAGGGAAACCTTGTAATACACATACAACACTATTATATGTCACATGAACTTCTTCTGATAATCCAGTATCACCACTATGTTTAGGTGAACGAAAAGATTGACATTTTAATCCTACAACCGGTTCATTATGTAATTGTTCTCCTAATAATAATGCACCTGTCTAAACCAAAAATAATTTATATTAATATATTATAGTATAAACACACATAGTATATTAAATTTTTTTATTCATTATTATAAATAAATACAGTTTAGATCATCATAGATTAAACCATTTAAATGTAATAATTTAAACTTACTTCTGTATAAAACCTAATAAAACCAGTATTAAAACCAACTATAATACATGTCCAATCTGGATTAGTTCCACTACTAGCTTTTCCCAATGATAATAAAGGTAAACAAATCACAGATGTTATCCATTCACTAAAAAACACTTTCAATATATGGACATATTTTCAACAAAATTTATTATAATAAAAAAATATATGATTTAACATAATATTATTATAATAAAAACTTACTTAACTTCTTTAGCAATTTCACCATACCATATCAAATGAAATTTATTTTTTGCCTCATCTGGTTCTAATGAATCCCACCTTGCTAATATCAAATAATTATTTTAAAAATTAAACATACATAAGTCTAAATTCTAAATTTGATATATTTACCATTTTATCATTTTTAAATAAATTGTTATATTGTATATTGTATGTTATATTGTAAAATAATTATTATTATTTAACAAATTATTATTTAACAAAATTATACATTATTTAAAATTAAATAAATTAATATATATAAATAATATAATACATACAAATTAATATAATCATTTTTGTATTATATGCCATAGCAAGAACATCTCCAGTTGAGGACAATGATATAAAACAGTCTTGTAATGGTAATTCATCTTGTGGAATGTCAACTGGAAAATATACATATTGATATTTACTATTTTTTTAAAAAACAAAACAAAAGAACATAATAACATACGTTTTCTGGTTGATTCTCCAAAAAGTAACTCTTTAATATTGCTTATATTGGTTAGATTCGCAATTCCTTTTATTTGACAAGACATATTTGATCAATTGAATTAATATATTTATTTCGAACAATTTCAAATTTTCTTTACTTTAAAATTGTAAATATTATTCGATTGATTAAACTATTGAAATTCTAATAAGGATATCTTAGAATAAGATAATAAATCACAAACTGTCATATGCTTGCAAGTAGGATAGTATTCGCAGAGATTCTTCGTCTAAAACTTTACATTTCGTAATAAATAAACATTCGTTAACAGCACCAGTCTTACTACCTTAATAATGTATTATGGATAACAAAAAATGAAAAATATGTAAACGTCTACATGAATTATCAACTTTATTTAAAAAAACAAAATATAGATACGCAATACCTATATGTACGAAACGTTATTCATACGAAATTTTAAGTCAAAATGGAGAACACGTGTTGCATGACATCACGTGACGTAATTTGTGACGTTTAGAAACAGTCGCTAGAGTTTTTCTGATTGGACAAAACAGATTGTTGAGACCAATGAAAATGTTCGTTTCTCCGCAATGGTCCGCGTAACGTGTTCAGCCATTTTGTTATTATTTTCGAAAATCTGTAGGTTGGATTTAAGGACAACATAAAGCTCCTACTTTTTTCGTTTATCATTACAATTGAAGGGAAATAGAAGAAACTTGTATGAGATTTAAGAAACAAAGTTACGACGAAGAACGGCCTCGGTGGGTATCGTACATTTATGAGTGGAACTCTCTTCACTGACGATCGTCGCAAACGGAGCAGAGGCAGGAGTGACGAGCGAGAGAACGTGCGAGAGATAGAGAGAGAAAGAGACGGTGAGGAACAGCGAGTCTGTGAAACGAGGAACGAAATTGGTCGCGCGCGGGAATCAGCGGTTGTGTGTTTGGCCTTTTTCTGATTGTGATTTACTGCGAGAGATTGTGATTGCTAGTGTGAAACGTGTGTTTTTTACCTACGAATTGAGAATCTGCGTGTGGGAGTTGATGCGGTATGTGTAAACGTCGTTTATGATGCTTTATTCGTTGAACAACGACGCAATGAGTAAAGTGCACCCGGATAACAAAAATCTACAGATTCCAATGACCTATTATTAATATTTTATGTTTCATTATCTTTTTTTTTTATTTGATTAAATGTATTAAATGAAATACTTTTTACATTAGATTTACAAACATTACGCACAATAAATTTTCACATAACCTTATTTGCGATTGTCAAATGTAGGTTAGGTCGAGCGGTCGCAGTGCGGTGACCTCCCTCGCTACACGTTAACAATGATTTCCTTTTTATTATTACCTCTGTTTAGTTCATTATTTATATCACATTCTTTTCTTTTAATGTCTTTAATTTAGTTATAAATATAATATATAATTGATCTTCATATAGAGAGAAGCACAGAACAATATTACTTGATACTATCCTTTTATCAGCTTTTAAAATTTTTATTTGTAAAATATTACAATATATTTTGTGTTAAAATAATTAAACAATGCACTGTGTAAAAATATATTGTTTTTTTATATTTATTTATTAATTGTAAATATTGTATTGTAATGTTTTTTATGTTTTTATCCTGAAATTGTTTTATAATATTATACTAGATTATTTCAGTGAAGGCTTTAACTAATTATAAATTTCTAAAATATTTAATTAATCCTTTTTTTTTAGAAACAAAACTTTGTAATATTTATATCTTATTTATATATTAATTATATAATTTTAATGACATAAATATTAATATTTAATATAATTATTTTCAGATAGGGTGTATGAAAATTGGATAATTTACAATAAATAATGGCAACTTTAGCAGAACAAGCATCTAAGCTTCTGGATTTTAATCAGAAGTTAGATATAACACTTCTTGATAATATAGTAGGTTGTATGTACACTGGAATAGGTGAGCAACAAAGAGTTGCACAAGAAGTATTAACTACACTTAAAGAGCATCCAAATGCATGGACCCGTGTAGATACTATTCTAGAATATTCACAGGTAAATTTTCAAATCAAAATTAAATATATATAAAGAGAATTTTCTAATTTATATGAAATTTTATATATATATATACATAGAATCAACAAACAAAGTATTATGCTTTACAAATATTGGAACAAGTTATAAAGACACGATGGAAAGTATTACCACGAAATCAGTGTGAAGGTATAAAAAAATATATTGTAGGCCTTATCATAAAAACAAGCAGTGACCCAGAAACAATGGAAAGTTCTAAAGTTTATCTTAATAAACTTAATATGATTTTAGTTCAAGTAAGTAACAGTAAAATTGAAAAATATAAAATAATAATATTTTAACAAAGTATATTTATTATAGGTTTTAAAACGAGAATGGCCAAAAAACTGGGAATCCTTTATTGGTGACATTGTTGGAGCAAGTAAAACAAATGAAAGTCTTTGTCAAAATAATATGGCAATTTTAAAATTACTATCAGAAGAAGTATTTGACTTTTCTAGTGGACAAATGACGCAAACAAAAGCAAAACATTTGAAAGATACTATGTGTAGTGAATTCTCACATATTTTTCATCTTTGTCAGTTTGTATTGGATAATTCACAAAATGTTCAACTGGTGGCAGTTACATTAGAAACTCTTTTAAGGTTTTTAAATTGGATTCCTCTGGGGTATATTTTTGAAACAAAATTAATAAGCACTTTAGTATTCAAGGTAAATACAGTATTTTATTAATTATTTTTATGTAACATTATAATTATAATGTTTTTGTATATTATAATATTATATTATAATTGTTACTATTTTTTTTTTTTTTTTTTTTTTTTTTT